CGGTGTTCTGAAATTTGGAATTTTTTCAATGTAGGGGAGAGGGGCTTACGAGACGAAGCCAGGGCTAAGGTTCTACAAGAAAGTTTGTATTAAGAGTTCAACTAACGGCGACTGTTCGAGTTGGAAGTAGGGAAGACAGTTTTAGCAAAACCAGTCAAAAGGGCTATGATCTCTGACGTGACAGAAAGAGCATTTTAGTGTCGGGGAAGCCTAACATTTTTTGTCCCCTAATCTGTCAGAAAGAGATCGACCATTTCTCCAAATATTTAAGAGGGCAGGAGAGCAAAAATAAGGGAACACCAGGAAAATCTGAAGGGGGGAAGGTAGAAATGAGTTATGCAAAGTGTTAGTTGGCGGGAAAGGGAACTTGATGTCTAAGGCGGAGAGAAATTTTTTGAGATTAAAAGACCGGAAATGTGGGAAGGCGAGGGTAAAAAATTCCCCCTGAGTAAAAGTTTGGGAGAGAAGAAATTGCGTTTTGCACGTAGGGCAATCTATGAAATGGGAAGGGAGCAAGACGGAGAACAATTATAAAAGTGAAATTTCGCTGGGGAAGGAAATGAGGATCAAAGATGCGGGGGGCACGGAAAAAAAGGGAGATAAAACACTTTTTAAGGGGGAACATGATGTAAGGGGTGAATGACATGCCACTGTGCAAAAGGTTTGCGGTAAACGAAAAGGGAAAAAACCCGTACTGACGGGGGACATGGACACGAAAGGGGCAAGGAATTAGATTCCATTCACTTTAAAACTTAATGAAGGGGGAAATTATTAAAACCTCAAGAAAAAATTGGAAGAACTGGGGTCAGAGGCCCCGGCAAAGATTTCATCCACATAGCGGGGCCAGAGTGAAGGTTGCACATCGAGGGGAGGAAGAAGAACGTCTCAAGTATTCCCTGTAAAGATTTGCAAGGGAAAGAGAAAGGGGAGCCCCTAGCGACACCCAAGGTTTGAGATAATATTCCCCTTGGGGGGAAAAGGGGTTGTCCACACGAAAGGCGACAACAAAAAAGACCAGGGGATAGGAATGAAGAAACCCTTCATGGGGCCCTTTTCTCAAGGGAAAACAAGACATCATCAAAAAGGGGCATTGGTGAAGGGGACTCAATCGACTAAACATCTTACAGGTTGGGGGAGAGCGAACCCGTCAATGAATCTTGAATGACGGAGGGGGGGCAAAAAAAATACCAAAAAGGGATGAGGGTTTTGGCCACAAAAAGCAAGAGAATAAAACAAAACCCTAGAGGGTATATAGGGAAAGGGAATATTTGGTTTTGAGTTTTGGGAAGGCCCTAGAAAAAAGGGAAGAGAGGGACAATGACCAAACCGTTAAAAAAGGCAAAAATCAAGGGCAGAGGGTTGGAAAGTCCTTAGTTTTTTGTTGAAAGTTCTCTTATCACAAAAGGGTTTTGGGAAAAGAAGGGGTGTAGGGTGAGTCGAGAGCAAGACACAGTTTACGGAGGTAATCCTCGCATCAAGGGTAAACCTAATTACCTTTGTCAGAAATAGTATACAATGTTGTTTGGGTTTAAGGAAAAAGGGGAAGTTTTTAACGGCGGGGAAGGGGGGATTTTTGGAAAACAAAACTAACAAAGCAGGAAGGGGAGCACCACGAAAAAAGGACAAATCGGAAAAATTTCGGAAAAAAAAGGGGGTTTCGAAAGGAATCAAAAGACTAATCAGGAAATACCAGCGCGGGATAGGCGAAGTGGAAAGGAAAGACCAAAAACCCAAAAGTTCAAGCTCAATGAAGATGAGACAGAAGACGTGTAACAATCATGAGGGAAATTTTGACCAAGGGCAGCGAGATGAGAATTGAATTTTTTTTTGTAGTTTGGGAAAATGAAATTTGTGCATTTTGGAGCAGTTCAAAAGGGAAAGGTAAGAGAAGGTTCAAAGGGTCCCGTGGTAGAGCCCGAAAAACGCACGTTGACGTAAAAGGAAATAAAGAAGGCTCTTTAACCTGGTTTGTAAAAGAAAGAGCGTTTTAAGTAGGAGACGGGGAATCAGGGAAAGGGGGATGCCCATGGTTGGTTTTCCCGGGGAATGGGAAAGGAAGGGGGCAAACTTTTCACAAGAATCACTAGGAAACGAACGATTTTAGACCCTGGTACAAAAAGAGCAGCCCAAAATCGAAAGAGGGGGTTTTAAAAAAGGGAAAACATTAAAAAGTTCTTCAAAAAGCTCTTCTTTTTTACTAAATCACAGGGTTTAAGTGCCTTCTTTCTTTCCGTCAACGTCAAATGCTCCTTTGCGGCTCTACCAAAGGACTCTGTAACCCCTTTTCTCTCCATTGCCTTTGACATGCCGCCCAAATGCACAAATCTTCTTTTAAACACAAAATAAACTTCAAGTCTCATCTCAGCTAGCCCTTGGCTAAATTCTCCCCCATGACGTGTTCTAATCTTTTTCTTCTCCTCTCAATATGGCTTTAACTTCTTGGGTTTTTGGCTTTCCTTTTCCACTGCCCCACTCCTGCACTGGGGTTTTCCCGATTTTAACTCTTTTGATTCCTTTCGTCATCCACTTCCGAATCTTCTGACTTTCCCTTTTCGTGGGGGTCTCCTTTCCCGCTCTTGTTAGTCGTTTTCCAAAATCACCACCTTTCCCCCGTTACCAATTGCCCTTTCTTCCTTAAATCCAACACTAACATTGTCAACTATCTTTTGACAAGGTAATTGTAGTTTTTCCTTGATCCGGGATACCTCCGAAGCTGATGTCCCTTCCTCTGACTCACCCCCCTACATCCCTCGTTTCCCAAACCCCCTTTACGCATCAAAGAACTTTCAACAAAAAACTAAGGACTCTCTCCGACCTCTTCCTCCGACTTTTACCTTTTTTCAACGGTTTTTTTGGGCATCTGCCCTTTTTTTTTTTTGGTTTTTAAAAAAATTAAATGTTTCCTTTTTTTATACCCCCCTTGGGTTTGTCCATTCTCTTGCTTTGGCTCCCCAAAACCTTCCCCCTTTCTTGGTCTTTTTCTCCTGCCCATCTCACTCCCCGCTTCTTAAACGGGTTCGCTCTCTCCCCCCCGTAAAAATCTTAGTCTTGACGTTGAGTCCCCCTTTACCAATATCCTTGATGAGTCCTTATTTTTTAGAGAGAAGCCCATGAAGGTTTCTCATCTCCCTTCCCCAGAGTCTTTCTTGCGTCCCCCCTCTGTGGGACAACTCCTTTTCCTTCCGGGAAATATTTTTTCCCAAAACCTTTGTGTCGCTAGGGCTCCCTCCTCTCCCCCCCCGCCCCCCCCAAAACTTTACATGGGAATACTTGAACTTTTTTCTCCTATCCTCATGTGCAACCCCTTTACTTGGCTCCGCTATGGGAGACCTTTGTCTGTGGCCTCATGCCCCGTCTCTTCCCCAAACCTTTTCTTGAAGCTCTTAATAATCTTCCCCCCTTTCCATAAGTTTAAAGCGAATGGAATCTAATTCCTTGCTTCCTTTTTGGTCCATGTCCCCGCTCAGAAGGGTTTTTTCCTTTTCCGTTTACCGCAAACCCATGCACGTGGGATTACATTCACTACTTTTCCTATCATCTTCCCGTCAAGAAAATGTTCTTATCTCCCTCTTTCTCCGGCCCTCCGCATCGTGATCCTCAGTTCCTTTCCCGCAAAATTTTCCCCTCTTCATAATTCTTTGTGTCTTTGGGTACCCTTCCCCTTTTTAAGACTTCCCTCTCACGTGCTAAACGCAATTTCTTTTCTCCAAACTCCTACCGTGGGAAATCTTCTACCTCGCCTTCCCTCATTTTCCGGTCTTTTAATCTAAAAATTCCTCCGTCCCCTTTTCAAGTTACCTTCCCTCAGACAACACTCTTCGCACTAACTTTCAACCCCCCTCCCCACAATGTTCCTGGTGTCTACCCATTTTTGCTCCCCCTGTCCCCCTTCAATACTTGAGAAAGGGCAATTCTCTTTCTGACAGACTTAGGGAGCAAAAAAATAGTGTTGGCTTGCCGACACAACAATGCTCTTTTCTGTCACTCAGAGATAAAAGCCATCCCATTGACTGGTTTCTGCTTAAAAACCCCTTCCCCACTTTCCAACTCGAAAATCCCCGTTTGAATCCCTCAAACCAACTTTCTTATGAAACCCTTTGCTTGGCTTCTCTCTGTAAGCCTTCCTTTTCCCCCCCACATTTAAAAAGCTCCAAATTTAAAAACCCGACTTAACCTGAATCCCATTTTTTTTTTTCTTCTTCCTCTTCCCTTTCCCCTTTCCTTTTTCCCTGGGTTGTCTTTTTCCTCTCCGTCTCGTGTTTCTGTTCCTTCTTTAATTTATTTTTATTTCACCACTTCCCCTTTTTATGCCCTCTTGCATTGCTCCCCCCTCTGGGGCATCTACTCTCTTGCATGCTCCTTTCCTTTGTTTTTGACTGGCCTCATCCTTATTTTTCCCCCTTCTACCACTACCACTACCCCTCTTCTTTTATTATACTACAACTACTGTTAAAATTTAAGACACATGTGGGCTCTGGTTTTCTTTGTTGTGGGCGTTTCGCCATCCGGTGGCTGGAGGCCAAAAATCTACTGGGGAGCCCGGGTTTTGTGCATGTTTTGATTTCACTTGTCGGTATTATATACATTTTTGGGACTACTATACACCTTTACCTCTTAAGCCTATATAAGCCAACCGCTCCATCTCTTTTTGTGGACTTTTTCAATGGGCCAAGTCAACCGGGAAAAGTCTCGTAAGCTTCTCTCTTTTATGTGCGGGTTATTTGTGTATAGTTAATCTTTTAAAAATGTATTTTTGTTAATATTTTTGGCTGTCTGGAATGAATTAATTGTATTTACATTAATTCTTATGGGAAATATTATTTTGGTTTTCGGCCATTTTGGTTTTAGGCCGACCTTCTGGAATGGATTACAGCTGATAACCGAGGGTCCACTGTATTACTTCTCTCATACTAATTCAATATTATCAATTACAATACATGCAGAATGTATCAAACAATTACAAACTTACTTCAATACAATGAACAACAAAATTTACTAACCAATAGGCTTACACTCCTGAGGGTCAGACAACCTCTCTGTTACAGTCATTTGGCGGAAAGAGCCAGAACGCGTGAAAGTGGAGGTGGTGGGATCAAACGACATAGTAACCCCACACTCCTTATCTCGTTTTTGCTTGCGTTCCAGGCAGGCAGCAAAAGCACAACCAACTGCATGACTTAATCTTTCACCCTGGTCAGAGATAAAAAATAAAAAAGCCTTAAATGTTTTCAATAACAGCAAGTTATGATGCCTATACTAGTAATAATTTGGAATGGTAAGTAGCAACAGCTCAAGGAGGTATTAACTGCACCACTTTGCCATGTGATACAACAGAAGCCTGAGTGCTGTCTTCCACTGACATGATTGTTTATCTTTTCTTTTATGTATCCTGAATAAAGATGCATCAGACTTATCTAACATACTCATTTTTATTACACACTTACCACCTGTATCTAATGTACTTCCTGAATCAGCTCATCTAACCTGTGCCATTTTAATTTTTACCTTTAATTCATGTTGCAGGGCAAATGGGTTAAAAACATGGCAAAAACAGCATTCACAGCAAAGGAAGAGGTGAAGCATGTGGAGAACACCCCAGGTAGTACTAATTTATTGTTTGGTCCTAACTTCAATTTTCTCTATTATGCTAATCATCTCTACACTTCATACAAGCCACTTAAAACCCTGGAGACAGATATACATGTAACAACCTAAGGTTATTTATATACTAAACCTCTGCTGCAGAAACAGCAGAATGCATAATGCTGAATTGCGTATTGGTGAATTTTTTCATTGAAATTAACAATACCTGGTACAGAATGTTCTTGCCATGAATAAATTATAACGTAGGATAAACTTCTCAATTAAACGGACTAGGGAGGCAGGGTGTGTGTGTGTGTGTGTGTGTGTGGGGTATGTGTGTGTGGGGTATGTGCGTGTGGGGTATGTGTGTGTGGGGTTGTGTGGGGTATTGGGGGGGTATTTGGGGGTGGGGTTGTGGGGTGGGGGATGT